AGCAAATGCGGCGCATTACTATGGCATGTTCATGGTCTAATTCAAGATGAGCTATGAACCATGTATTAAAGCTCCAAAAAAGTTGAACAATAAGTGAAAATTACATGTTGCGATGTATCGAAGCTGGGGCAAGCCAGTGAGAGTATACCTTTAGCGAAAAATCTATGAAATTACCATCTGCACCATAACGTTCGAGATCAACTAAAGTTGGACCAAGAACAAAAACTTTTAAGTCTAATAACTGGTCAGATAACTTCATTAGCTTCGGACAACATTTGTATCATACACGCGTGATATACCATACTGCTGTTCCAAGCAATGTTCACTTCACACTCTGTCAAAAGAAATGAAATCTTTCTAAAAGTCTGAGCTGCAAATTTATGCAACTTTCAACACGTTATTCATAACCACGCACGCATACACACACTGCTGATGTCCTGTTGAGCTCGCCGATATCTTTTCTCAATCAAATTTCAAGCAGAGTTTATTGCACAAGAAGTCAAAATTCATGAAGAACATTGTAAAAATACATTGTAAGAAACTTGGTGAAAAACGTAAAGAGATAGTTCCACTTGTACTTTTAGTGATACCCGCATCGGTAGACTTATTTCCTCCTCAACACAGCCACTTTTTCTTTAAAGATCATCTCCGGGAAAAAGAAGGGGAAGGAAGACGTTTTCCTAAAAAAGCGAAGATTTTATTCCTGATTTTCTAAAATGTACAAAAAAATGCTGAGAAGACTCACTTCAAAGTAAACCTATGGAAAGCTGGAATGGCAAACATAACTCTATGATAGGTACTGTAGTTTTTTGTAACGATATCTTTGAGGTTTCCAGTGTAAGTGCCAATCATGAGGAAATCGAACCTCTCCATATCTTCCGGAGTAAGGGTTTCGGTTTTGTTATACCTTAAATTAGTTAATTAGTGAATCGCGTCCCAAAGCTGTAACAATTATCAGTTGCTTAAAAGAATTAATGATTTATTCAACCCCGGAAAAGTAGTATGAGGCACGCGAGCTGTTTGCCATTCTCCCCTCTGCTTACTTTCCCTTCTCCTTCACTCGCCACAGACAGTTTGCCAAAAGGCAAATCCTTAGAAAAAAGCCGAATATTCGCGATTGAAAATGGAGGAAAAAATAAAGTTTTTCCCCAGTCCCTTCCATCTCCCTCCCTTCATATTCACAGACTTTCATTACGACCCTTACTTTCCTTTTCTTCCTCTCTTCCCTATTGTCAAAGATTCTGTTGTTTTCGAGTAAAATTACGCAGCTGATGTTGAAAAACCATTTACAATCTTGCATATGGAATTAGCATTTGGTGTGCAAATATACACCTGTATTTGGATACTTTATTTCAAATGTAAAATATTCGGACACAGAATTTTCACTGCAGCAGATTCTATAGGAGATTTCTATGCGCTTTTCTCAAGGAAACAAATTACTGAAACAAAAATGCAACGTACTCCCAAGCATCGTAGAGCTGCATAAAACGGCTCACTCCAGTTTGAGCGCAGGCATTGTCGATGTAGACTGACATAGGCTTCTTCGCATCAATTCTTTGTGTCCACTGTAAATGAATATGTACAGCACAAAAATAAATTGCAGCTCTCTAAGTAATGAATGCCTGTAGATGTGCGATTGCATCTCCACCAGGATAATTTCTTGCTCCAGCATAAAGAAAGGCGGCTGTAGCTAGTAGGTTGGCAATAAGATGCAAGCAACAACCAAGGTATAAAATTCGACGACCAAATGATTTTTGCCGATTTATGTACCTATAAGAAGGATGTTAACATCTGTTTGATATATTACAACAAAGTTCTAACAACAGTATGTAAACGTACAAGCTACGCTAGACATAGAGGTTTTTCGGAAAGAACAAGCTAAGAAAGAGTGTAAAGTACTTGTGAAGTGCAGTGAATTTAGGCTTAAAGAATTCCTACAAATCTTATCATTCCTTTTACACACAAGAAGAAAGGACAATATCTTAACTCACATTCTTGCACAAAACACTGCAGCTGAGAGATTGATCAGTGGGAAAGAATAGATAATAAATCTGAACATCAAAGACTTCAGTGATAGGTTTGGC